GGCATTCTTTCTGCTTCATGTACCAAGAGAATAACACCCACTGCTTTCAGAAACAGTAGCTCACAAAGCTTCTCCTGGCGGGTAGGTTGGAATCTTGGGGCTCTGACAGGAGACAGTTTGAGCGGGATTCAAGAGATGACACTGGATCGTAGGGGTTAAGGTAGAGAACAGAGCCTTTTCTCTTCTCCTTTTAGTTTAAGTAAACTTTTTAAATTGAAATACACCATTCATTCAGAAAAATATGGAGATCACAAACAGGCAGCTCACTGAATTTTCACAAAATGACCAAACCTGTGTAACCAGCATCCAGATGGAGAAACGGTACAGAAGCCACCCTCGGGCCACTTCAGGCCCTGCCTCTACCCTCCCAAGAGAGGCCTCCACCCTGCCCCCCCCACCGTGGATAGTTCCTCCTGTGTTGGAACTTTATTTAATCAGGTAGTGTATATAGAGTCTTTCGTGTCTGGCTTTTTTCAGAACATCAGCTTTTCAAATCTGTCCTGGTCCATGTTAGATTGAGAACAAGAAAACGGACAAGACGAGCCTGCTTGTCTGTTTCGGTCCCATTCCAGTTAACAGGTGGTCCGTGAACTGGGACCCTGGTTAGATGTTTGACGTTCAAACAGCCACCTAGTTGGAAGCTGAGTTAGGCCACATAGAGTATGAATGTCACATAGCTGGTGATTAAAGGGTAGTGACTTCAGGGCACTTCAAAGCAAGGTAATTCTCCCATAGATAACTCGATAGATCATGCTTGCTAAGCCTTTATTCTGTTGCAAGTACAGCCTAGGCACTACCGTAATGAGGTGAGGAAAACATGCTTGCCTATCTAAGGTAGGCCAACATCCTATCTCTTGCATGAGGTCTATCCATGGGGCTATTGATGCCACAACTCTGACTCGTTTAAATGATGAATTCCAGATGGTTTCGGAGTTTGAAACACAAATCTGTGCTTGCGAAATCACCCTACAGTAACAGTCCTCTGTGGCCCAGGTGCCGTACCTGACAGAGGAGCTCTCTCTGAATGGAGTTTGGTGCTGTGATGTTTCTCCACTGGGAAGCCCAGTTTATAGCACACTATGTATAAACTCTAAATGGAAGTGTTTGTATTTCCCTTGGCAAGCAAATTGGACTGTGTATATTCTTTGTGATCTAATCCAGCAAGGCCAATTATGGGAATAGAGCTTTAGGGCATAGCATGACTAATCTGCTTAATTAGGTTTACTTTCTTAAATGCCAGGCTTCCAGGGGTGGCTAGTGTGGGCTCCTGGAAGAGAGGAGGTCTTTAATAGGTTTCCAGCTTACCCAAGGATACATTTTACATTTGTTTTTCTTATGCTTATTTTAAAACACTAAATGTGCAAACACTTTGGACAGCTTGATAAGACTCCAAAATGCTGTAGTATAACTGTTTCCCAGTGAATCCCTCCCTAATTTATGACCTGAAAGTCTATATTTTTTCCTTGCCTTTATCTGTTTTCACAGTGTCTACTTGAGTTGCTGTTGCTGTCCTTGGTGGCATCGTTGTTTAAGTTTCCATAAATATTCATCTCAACCTGTGTGGATTGTAAAAACAAGTTCCAATGCAGAGCTCAGTGTAATTGATTAGTGGAGCTTGTCCCATATGTTCGCTGGCATTGGTGGTGTTTAAGTAACATTTAGCACATTAACTCTGTCATAAACAATGGTGTAAATTGTGTCGCTACACGTATCCTATAGTGTCTGTGGTAGTAATCCGTAGCACTAGACCAACAGATAAAAAACAAAGGGGCTTCCCTGGTGGTGCAGTGGTTAAGAATCCGCCTGCCAATGCAGGGAACACGGGTTCGAGCCCTGGTCCGGGAAGATCCCATATGCCGCAGAGCAACTAAGCCCGTGCACCGCAACTACTGAGCCTGCGCTCTAGAGCCCATGAGCCACAACTACTGAGGCTCGCGCGCCTAGAGCCCATGCTCCGCAACAAGAGAAGCCACCGCAATGAGAAGCCCGTGCTCCACAACTAGAGAGACCCCGCGTGCAGCAACGAAGACCCAATGCAGCCAAAAATAAATAAATAAATAGATTTTTTTAAAATCATAAAATACGTCAGGCCCATGACTTGCTGTGTGTCCATGGGCAAGCTCCTTCACCTCTCTGAGTCTCACGTTCTTCAACTGGAAAAGGACAGTGACAATAACGCCTTCCTCGTAGGGTCGTTGTAAGGCTAAAGGAGGTAATATGTGTGAAAGCAGTTAGCACAACGCCTGCCACACAGCAGTAACATTCGGCAAATGTTAGTCGTTGTTAATACACTCAGACTTCACCCTTGCTCCTTTGTGCAGAATGAAATTGATTCCGCAGTGGAGATGTTGTTATCCTTGAAAATGAGCTACAAAGCTGCCACGGGGGAGGATTACAAGGCTGACTACCCTCCAAGGGACCCGGCACCTGGGAGTGATAGTGGCCTGGATGCCACAGAAGCAGGCGAGGATTTTGTGGACCCATGGACAGTACAGACAAGCAGTGCAAAAGGCATTGACTATGACAAGCTCATTGGTACGTTATGGGAAAAGCCCCAGCTTTTAGGAGTGATTCCATTGAGTTGATTCCACTGATGTTTTCTAATTTGAATTAATCATACATCCAGTCAAGCTTCAATGCCAAGGGGAAAATAGATCCTAAAATTTTTTGTGGTACATTATATTCCCAGAGGATTATTTTTAATTAACATAACAATATAAAATAAATCTCAAAATAATGACTTATAGTAGATAGCTTAGTAGAAGCTTTTTCCTTTTTGTGAGCAATTCAGAACTTGGGGAAGGTCCATGGAACTGGGCATCTTTACAGTCACTTAAATTGTCTCTAACTTAGTGGGTACAAGTCAGTCATAGATTACTTAAGGTTTCTCCTCCAGTGTGATACTGAGTGTGGAGCTAAACAGCTGGAAGTCAGCTTAAGAAAGATGACTCCTCACAGGTGGCAGGTCCTCACTGCCAAGCCCTTCACTGGAGGGCTTCCTGCTCAGGAAAATCCTTACTCTGAGATCATTGATGGCTGTCAAAAAAGAAACAGAACTAAAATGTTCTTACCTAAGTCTAAGCCATTTTCCATGATTTATGTATAGACTATCAATGAGGGAAAATTCTCTTGAAGGCAGCCGTTAATTCGGTTAAAGACTATTTAAATTTATGGTTGTGAGAATATAAATTATAGCTCAATAAACAATAAGCAGTGGGGGCGTGGGTGTGTGTGTGTGTGTGTGTGTGTGGTTGCGGTTGCCTGGAGTTGCTAGCTAAACTGTATTCTGGATCTGTTTCCTGTCAGAATCCAATCCCAGACAAAAGAGCATTTTGTTCTGTAATTTATTTTCTGTTCTGCGGGCTGTGACCTGCACTCTGGGCTGGTGGAAGGGACCAAAGCCTAAGGCCTAAAGAGGCCTGGGTCTGTTGAGACTGTGCATGGATCACAAGTCTTTCCCTCTCATTTCAGCAATATCACCAAACCTCCCACCACCTAAGATCGGCATCTCTTCTTTTTCTTCCAGTTCGGTTCGGAAGCAGTAAAATTGACAAGGAGCTGATAAACCGGATAGAGAGAGCCACGGGTCAGAGGCCGCACCGCTTCCTGCGCAGGGGAATCTTCTTCTCGCACAGGTCAGGGTCTTCTCACCGCAGGGCCTCCCACCCCTCCTCTTCTTTTAATGAAGAAAACCAGCAGGGTGCTGTTCCCTCAGACCCCCAGGCCCTTGCGGCGAGTGGTTGCCAGTTGGCAGAAGGCCGGTTCCACCTCCTGTGCTGGCAGTAACTGGCTGTGGGATGGTGCCCGTCCCTTCACCTCTGGCCCTTAGTTTATTCATCTGTAAACTGCCCACCTCACAAGGTGGAGGTCAAGTACACAGCAGGTGAGATTCATGCCAGGTTACGTGCTATAAACTATAAAATGTCACAAAACAAAAGAGATGAACGTGTCCAGGTTCAGCATTTCCCATGAGATAAGCAGGAGGCTTCCTGAAATTACATACTTCTTCCTCCTATTGTACTGGCCTACTCATAAATAATAGCCAAAGAGAAACTAATAGTATGGCTGAGTTGCTTTGCTGTGCACCTGAAACTATCACAGCATTGTTAATTGGCTATACACCAATATAAAATTAAAAGTTAAAAAAAAATTAAAAAAAAAAAAAGAAACTAATAGAGCGAACATGCACAGAATATCCCTACCTGAGGTCATAAATTCCATGCAGATAACATCAGAGAACAGGCGGCTTCTGAGTGAGGTCTTGCCTCTCCCACCCCACACATCGCCTCGGGTTGGGTTCAAGGCCATGTTCGTGGAGTTTATAGTCCAAGGTAGGGTTGTTGTGTTCTGCCCGCACATCAGGGTTACGGAGAGCACGTGCAGGACAGAACTCGGCAGTCTGCCGAACACTTTAAATTCTACAGGCAGAGAACTCCAAGCCCCGCTCAGCCCTCTTTCTGGGCAGAATGCAAAGCTTTTTCCTCAATTGAGATTTAATTCACATGACATAAAATTCACCTTCTGAAAGTACATAATTCAGTGGTTTTTTTGGTGTATTCACAAGGTTGTGCAACCATCACCACTGTCTAATTCCAGAACATTTTCCTCACCCCAAAAAATAACCCTCTGCCCATTAGCAGTCACTCCCCATTCCTCCCTCCCCACCAGCACCACTGGCAACCACTAACCTACTTCCTGTGTCCATGGATTTGCCTGTTCTGCACATTTCATATAAATAGAATCATACCACATGTGGCCTTTTGTGTCTGGCTTCATTCACTTAGCACCATGTTTTCAAAGTTCCTCCATGATGTATCATATGTCAGTGCTTCATTCTTTTTCATACCTGAAAAATATTTTATTGAATGGACATACCCTCCCCCATTCAACAGTTGATGGACATTTGGGGTATTTTCACTTTTGGGTTATCAGTAATGCTGCTCTGAACACTTGTATACAGGCTTTTTTTTTTAATAAATTTATTTATTTTATTTATTTATTTTTGGCTGTGTTGGGTCTTCATTGATGTGTGAGGGCTTTCTCTAGATGCGGTGAGCGGGGACTACTCTTTGTTGCAATGGGCGGGCTTCTCATCACTGTGGCTTCCCTTGTTGTGGAGCACGGGCTCTAGGCACGCAGGCTCAGTAGTTGTGGCACGTGGGCTCGGACTTCTCACTGCAGTGGCTTATCTTGTTGCGGAGCACAGGCTCTAGGCCCTCGGGCTTCAGTAGTTGTGGCGCGCAGGCTCAGTAGTTGTGGTGCATGGGCTTAGTTGCTCCGCGGCATGTGGGATCTTCCCAGACCAGGGCTCGAACCCGTGTCCCCTGCAATGGCAGGAGGATTCTTAACCACTGCGCCACCAGGGAAGTCCTGTATACAGGCTTTTATGTGGACATATATTTTAAGTTCTCTTGAGTGTGTACGTGGGAGTGGAACTGCTGGGTCATAAGTTAACCATTTAACTTTTTGAGGAGCTTCCAAACTGTTCTCCACAGTGACTGCATCATTTTGCATTCCCACCAGCAAAGGGCAAACAAAGGTCCCAATTTCTCCACATCCTCGCCAACATTTATTATTTTCCATTTTGTGTTTTTCCATAGCCATCCTAGTAAGTGTGAGGTGGTGTTTCACTGTGATTTTGATTTGTATTTCCATAATGACTAATGATGTTGAGCACCTTTTCATGTGCTTATTGGCTTTTTTTATATATTCTTTAGAGAACTGTCTCTTTTGATCCTTTACCAACTTTTTAATTGGGTTATTTATCTTTTCATTATTGAGTTATAATAGTTCTTTATATATTCTGGATACTAGTTTCTTATCAAATACTTGATTTGCAAATATTAGCTCTTCATTTACAGTGTCCTTAGAAGCACAAGTTTTTAATTTTGATGAAATCCAGTTTTCTTTTGTTTGTTTTTCGTTGCTTGGTGTCATATCTAAGAAACCATTGCCTAATTCAAGGTCATGAATATTTACACCTGTTTTTTCTTCTAAGAGTTTTATTCTTTTAGCCCTTACATTTAGGTCTCTGATCCATTTTGAGTTAATTTTTGTATATACGTGAGGGAGGATTCAACTTCATTCTTTTGCATGTGAATATCCAGTTGTCCCAGCTCCATTTTTTGAAGACTGTTGTTGAATTTTCTTGACACTCTTGTTGAAAATCAATTGACCATATATTTAAGGGTTTATTAAATATTACTACATAGTCTTGATTACTGTAGCTTTATAGTAAGTTTTGACACTGGAAAGTGTGAGTCCTCCAACTTTGTTCTTCTCAAGATTATTTTGGCTGTTCTAGGTCCCTTGCATTTCCAAGTGAATTTTAGGATCAACTTGCTAATTTCTGTAAAAAAAGGCAGCTAGGATTTTGGTAGAGATTTTGCACTGAATCTATAGATCAATTTGGGGAGTGTTGCCGTCTTAAAATATCAAGTCTTCCTATCCATGCACACAGACGTCTTTCCATTCACCAGGTCTTTAGTTTCTTCCAGCAGTGTTTTATAGTTTTCAGTGTACAAGTCTTGCACTTCCTTTTTTTTAATAAATTTATTTATTTATTTTTGGCTGCGTTGGGTCTTTGTTGCTGCGCGTGGGCTTTCTCTAGTTGCGGTGAGCATGTGGCTACTCTTCGTTGCGGTGCGGGGGCTTCTGTTGTTGTGGAGCACGGGCTCTAGGTGCGTGGGCTTCAGTAGTTGTGGCACGTGGGCTCTAGAGCGCAGCCTCAGTAGTTGTGGCACACGGGCTTAGTTGCTCCGTGGCATGTGGGATCTTCCCAGACCAGGGCTCAAACCCGTGTCCCCGACATTGGCAGGCGGATTCTTAACCACTGTGCCACCAGGGAAGCCCCAAGCCTTGCACTTCTTTTGTTAGATTTATTCCTAAGGTTTTGTTTGTTTTGATGCTGTTGAAAATAACGTTTTCTTCATTTCTTTTTTGGATTGTTCATTGCTGTTTCTGAAGGGAAAGCGCAATCCTGTGTGTTTCCTCTAGCTCAGTGCTCACTGCAGCTCTGCTTCACTTCTGATACCGGATATGTGGGGTTTCCACACATCAGGAGGTTCTGCAGCACAAGCGGGTGTCTTACAATTTAACCCAGTTCTGACACTGTCTACCTGGAGATAGCGTCTGATCCCACAGGTTAAGGGCTCAGTCCTGCAAGACTGCCCCCCACCTCCCTGCTTCAGACAAGATTCACGAGTCCGGACTGTTACCCGTGCCATAAGTCAGAGGGCCCCATGACTGCTTTGTGGAGTGAATTTGCCAGAGCACCTGACATAAGTCAGGAAAACATTTTACTTACTAGATTACCAGTTTGTTATAAAATGGTATAATTCAAGAACAGCCAGATGGAAGAGGTGCACAAGGCAAGGTGTGTGGGAGCACAGCGTTTCCATGGTCTCCCTGGGCACCTCTCTCCCCACTTCTCCATGTGTTCACCAACCCGGAAGCTCTCTGAAGCTGTCCTTTGGGTTTTTATAGAGCCTTCACTACATAGACGTGATTATTTAAATCACTGGCCACTGGTAATTAAACTCAATATCCAGCCCCTCCGCCCTCCCCAGAAAGTGGGGCGAAGGCAGGGGGGACTGACATTTCCAATCCTCTAATCAGAGTTAGCTCCCCTGGGAACCAGCCCGCCTCCTTAGGTTATCTACGGGCTTTCCAAAAGTCACTTAAGTAACATAAATTTTAGTGGTTGAAAGGAGCTTATTATATGAATAACACTCCTATCTTTATCATTCTTTTCACTTAGGAAATTCCCACAATGGTTAAAGGAGCTCTGTGCTTGAAACAGGATAGAACGAAGACCAAATATATATTTCTTATAATCAATCACAATATTGCACTACTGTGTAGAAATACCACAGCTGATTTTTGTTTGTGGATCTTACACGCTGCAGCGTTGCTGAGTTCCTTTATTAGTTCTTATTAAAAAAAACAAAATTCAGCCACATAAATTTGAAGATCTAATTATCTTTATCCAGTGATTCATCAGTCAGGCAGCATCCCATCTAGCAACTAGAAAGGCGCTCCAAGGGGTTTTACAAAATGGAAGCTTTTTACAGGGAGAAGGGTGGGGCAAGGGAGGAATTAGCAAAAGGAAAAAAAGGATTATTTTTAGGCCAGGACATCTTTTTGTGGAAGGGAATAGCAAGGGTTTTACCATGCAGATTGATTCTTGAGGGATCGAAGGTGTAGGGCAGGAGACAGTTTACCTCATAGGTGCTGAGCAGAAAATTCCAGTCTGGTTGATTAAGATTACATTTCTGGGGAAGGTGGAAAGTGCAGTTAAATCAGATATTAAGTCTAGGTTTAGTATCATGGGCTTTAACATGATACCATTTGGGGCCTGTGGTTTTCTTTTTAACATTCTCTTTTTTTTTTTCTTTTTTTGTGGATTCTGGAGCATTTTTGTTGTATAGAATTATTTCACCTGCGAGTAAGGGTAATTTTACTTCTTCCTTTCCAATTTGGATTTCTTTTTCTTGCCTAATTGCTCTGGCTAGAAATTCTAGTACAGTCCTTGTGAAAGTGAGCATCCTTGTCTGATTCCTGATCTTAGGGGGAAATCTTTCAGTCTTTCACCATTGAGTAGCTGTGGGTTTTCCATAAATGCCCTTCATCATTTTAAGGAAGTTCCCTTCTATTCTGAGTTTGTTGAGTATTTTTATCATGAAAGAATGTTGGGTTTTATCAAATCCTTTTTCTTCCTCTGTTGAGATTATCATGTGGCTTTTGTCATGTTTTCTGTTAATACCGTGTATCACATTGATGGATTTTTGTATGTTGAACCAAGTTTGCATTCCTGGAACAAATTCCAGTTGATTATGGTGTGTAATCCTTTTTATATGTTGCTGGATTTGGTTTGTGAGTTGCTGAAGAATTTTTCGTCTGTATTCATAAGGGACATTGGTCTGTAGTTTTCTTTTGATGTCTTTGCTTTGGGTATCAGAATAATACTGGCTTCATAGCATGAGTTGAGACGTATTCCCTCTTCCATTTTTCTGGAAGTTTGTGAAGGATTGTTGTTAATTCTCTTTTGAAAATTTGAGAGAATTCACTAGTGAAGCCATCTGGCCCGAGGCTTTTCTTTGTGTGACTTTTTTTTTATTCCTAGTTCAGTTTCTTTGCTTGCTATAGATCTGTTCAGATTTTCTATTCTTGAGTCAGTTTTGGTAAATTTGTCTATTACATCAAGGTTGTCTAACTTGCTGGCATACAGCTGTTCCTAGTATTATTCCCTTACAATCCTTTTTAATCCTACAAAGTGTTTAGTACTGTTGATTTTGGTAATTTGAGTCTTTTGTTTTTTTAGCTCAAGCTTTTTTTATCTTAGCATTTTACAGTTCTCACTGCCCTGTGACTTATTTACTTCAGTATTATAATGCTGTAGGCTCTTGGTTTAGGGAGGCATAGGGCTTGAAGCTTTGGCCATGCTCAAATTTAAGAATGCCTCTCAGATCTGTAAAGTAGGTATTTGATGAGATCTGCCACGCACTGTCTCCCTCTGCAGCTGAGGGGTCCCTGCTGGAAGCCATCCTCACAAAGCTGAGCTCAGCATGGGAGCCTCGTCAGCACCCTGCCCTCGGGACAGCACATCGTGAGTGCTCAGAGACTTCCTACAAAGCCATCTGGAGCAGCTCAACCGGGACTTCCCTGGCAGTCCAGTGGTTAGGTCTCCGTGCTTCCACTGCAGGTGGCACAGGTTCAGTCCCTGGTCGGGGAACTAAGATCCCACATGCCACACGGTGCGGCAAAAAAATAAAAAGAGCAGCTCGTGGGACGGCTGTACTCTTTTTCTTTTCTATAAGCCGATAAAAGTTTGATTTGATTACTCGTGAGAACCAAAGGACTCTTTTTCTTCCAAAATCAAGTGTTTCATTCTTTCCTTATTTCAGAAGCACTGCGTAATCATTCCTTGAGGAAAAATCAAAACTATGCACGAAAACCAGAATCCCCCTAATCCTATCAGCCCAGAGATAAGCAGTGTTAACCCCTGGTCTGGGGTATAAGGAGAAGTCACTTTCAGAATACTCTTGTCTGGGTTCTCCTACCCAGACCTCTGGAAAAGGCAGCTATTCCTCTTTTATTTGGGCATACTTTGCCCAGAAGCAAAGAACATTCACACCCTGGAAGGGTGGTTTCATACCCTGCCAAATGTTGCAGTCACTGGCAGGGTTTTTTTGTTTGTTTTGTTTTTTTGGGTTTTTTTAACATCTTTATTGGAGTATCATTGCTTTACAGTGGTGTGTTAGTTTTTGCTGTATAACAAAGTGAATCAGCTGTACATATACATATGTTCCCATATCTCCTCCCTCTTGCATCTCCCGCTCACCCTCCCTATCCCACCCCTCTAGGTGGTCACAAAGCACTGAGCTCATCTCCCTGAGCTATGCGGCTGCTTCCCACTAGCTATCTATTTTACGTTTGGTAGTGTATATATGTCCATGCCACTCTCTCACTTTGTCACAGCTTACCCTTCCCCCTCCCTGTGTCCTCAAGTTCATTCTCTACATCTGCGTCTTTATTCCTGTCCTGCCCCTGGGTTCTTCAGAACCTTTTTTTTTTTTTTTCATTTCAGATTCCATATATGTGTGTTAGCATACGGTATTTCTTTTTCTCTGACTTACTTCACTCTGTATGACAGTCTCTAGGTCCATCCACCTCACTACGAATAACTCAGTTTCGTTTCTTTTTATGGCTGAGTATTATTCCATTGTATATATGTGCCACATCTTCTTTATCCATTCATCTGTTGATGGACACTTGGGTTGCTTCCATGTCCTGGCTATTGTAAATAGAGCTGCAATGAACATTTTGGTACATGACTCTTTTTGAATTATGGTTTTCTCTGGGTATATGCCCAGTAGTGGGATTCCTGGGTCACATGGTAGTTCTGTTTGTAGTTTTTTGAGGAACCTCCGTACTGTTCTCCATAGTGGCTGTACCAATTCACATTCCCACCAACAGTGCAAGAGGGTTCCCTTTTCTCCACACCCTCTCCAGCATGTATTTTTTGTAGATTTTTTGATGATGGCCATTCTGAACCGGCAGGGGTTTTAAAAATACAGATTCCCAGACGTCACCCCAGACCCACTGGACCAGAGTCTGTGGAGGCACACCTCAGGCAGATGTGGTGTGGAAACAGCCGGCCAGGTGATTCTGATGTACCGCCAGGGAGGAGGCCTCTTCGTGTGCACTGTCAGTGGACCCCAGTCCTTGGGGAGGGTGGATGATTCCAGAATAACTCCCAGATGAAGACACCTGGTCCCAGTGTAGCTGAGGGAGCCGAAAGCAGATCTCCACCTGGGGGCATCCTTCACTTCCCTCCCTAAGTCAGGACTGTGGGAGCCCTGCAATTTCCCCCGTCTGGGCCAGCAGAGTGTTGATGCTGCGTGGTTCTCAACAAGGACTGGGTGGTGTTGGCCTGGTGTCACTCCCAGGAAAGTGTGTGAAGCAGGCAGTATGTCAACGTCGATACTTGGAGGAATTCCAAGAGAGGTCCAGTGTCTGACCAACATTTAAATACATTATTCCCAATTTGCATGTCTCACACTTTTAAAACAGTCACAGGAGAACCAGCTCAGAAGAAGTTTCCTGCTGTTTTTACAGCGTAAGCGCCACGGCTAACAAGCTCTAGTGATTATCCGGGTTGTCTTGTCTGTTTATCATTTCCAAATGAGCATTCACACCACGATTTTTTTCTCAGAACATCACACTATTTTCTTTTCTCCTTTTTCCTTTAGAGACATGCATCAAATTCTTGATGCCTATGAAAATAAGAAACCATTTTACCTGTATACGGGCAGGGGCCCCTCTTCTGAAGCGATGCACGTAGGTCACCTCATCCCATTTATCTTCACAAAGTAAGTATTGCGTTGTATGACTGTTCTCACTTGTATTAGCGAATCAGAAATGTTAGTCACATTGCTGATCGAGTATGGTGTATAAAATTAGTTTGTTATTTTGAAATTCTTTTGAACCATGGAGGGACTAAATCAGCAGTATATCTGCCAATCATAGATAATAAATGTATTATTTTGCCAAAAAAAAAAAAAAGCAAAGATTTCTGTTAGTCACAAACCTTGTCTAGAACTGACAAGACAGTACTGGTTCACGTCTGCCTGAACAACCAAGGTCTTGGGGAGTTGCTGCCTTTGTGGCTTCTCTTCACCCTGTTCCTGGTGTCACTTTAGCGGGATGTGGGTGGTAGAGAAAGCACTGCTTTGGAGTCAGTGGACCTGCGTCCTCCTCTTCCCCTGTCCATGTGACCGTAGAAGAGTTACTTCTCTGGGCCTTAGTTTCCACATCTGCCAGAGGGAGTAATAATACCTACCACCTACAGTTCTCGTAAGGCTTCAAAATAAAGTGTGCAGGGAAACCAGCACAGAGCTGACATGGTAATAAACGGTTGTAGCCCTATTAACAGGAGTCAAATTCACAGTGTGATCAGAGCGTGTGATTTTGTGGGCAGGGTCGTTTTGACATAACATTGTTAGCAGGAACCGTGTTTTCAGAGGCACAGTGGCGTTTTTCTGCAGGGAAGTGAGATGGCAGCCTTCTCCCCCCCTCTCTTAGGTGGCTGCAGGATGTGTTCAACGTGCCCTTGGTCATCCAGATGACCGATGACGAGAAGTACCTCTGGAAGGACCTGACCCTGGATCAGGCCTATGGCTACGCTGTGGAGAACGCCAAGGACATCATCGCCTGCGGCTTTGACATCAAGAAGACTTTCATCTTCTCTGACCTTGACTACATGGGGTAAGGAGAGAACGCCTGGCTGCCTTTTAACTAAGTAGATGCAGATTGTAGACAAGTCATCACGGCCACGGCTGCAGCTGAAACACCTGAAGCATCTCGAGGTCTGGAAAATGTTTTTCTTCCCTTATTAAATGTTATGGTCTGGTTTATTGGTTCATTGACAAATAACGATTTCCATCCTCAGCTTGTGACAGATGTGCATCTGTGTCGTAGTTTCTCTCCACAGATGGTCAGTTGTGCCAGTTTGGGTGTCTTTCTCTTTCTCAGTGTACCTTTTTCCCTACAGAGAAAAGACTCACTGGTGACACAATTCCCTCACAGTCTAGTTAAACCGGACACTTAATAGTCCAAAAGATTTCCTTCTGGAAGTCCTCAAACTGTAACTTCTGCGGTTTTGAACTTCATTCCAGACGACTACCAAGAAGTGTGTTAGAAAAGTAAGACTCTGTCCGCCGCCCCAAGAAGAATGCTCTTCGGGTCACCAAATATTGCACGAGCCCCTAAGATGTGGCGCTCCCTGCACGGCTCTGGCCGCCCATGGGGGACAGTGATTGAGGGCCCGACTTGCTGATGGAGTGTGGCCCCTGTTAGGAGATTCGTTAGAGGCCCAGACAGGGTGTAGTGGAAACACCAAAGGGCTGTGTGAGCAGTAAGTACAGAGGAGCTTGCTGATTAACATTGCCCCAGAAGGGTTCCTCTTGTAACTACTGAAATCTAACGGGTAGCTTTATAGCCATTGAGAGAAAGACACGCCTTGGTATGAAATCTGACCTTTCTAGCAGCCAGTAAATGAATGAATTTTCTAATTTTACCTATTACATTTTATTAATCACTCTCTTGTGGGCACAGAGGCATTGTGGGGTCCATGAAGAAACATGACCTTCCAAGGGAGGAAAATAGACCTGGGTTCGAGTCCCAGGTCTCCTCTGTTCAGGGTCTGTGAGTCAGCAAGTCTGGTCCATGAAATAGGGTTAGATGAGACCTTAGCTGTCACCGTTATTATCATTTTCATGACACTTAGTTTTATTTCTCTCCCCCTATTCCTTAAAAGGACCTGATTCAACTTCTTGAACCCATAGACACACCATGGGTTCTGCTGCTCTTTTTAGGACAAGGCAGTGCTGGCATCACACAGTCACTGGCATCCTTTTGTGCAGCCTCTTCCCACCCACCGTGGCCCCTCTCAGCCTCTGGTCCCCCACCAGCCAGCGCTCTTTCTAAAAGGCAGGTGTGGCTCAGTCCCCTGCTCACAGCTTTCCTGGTTCTCCATCATCATAAAGTTCTCACTTTCTCCTTTGCACACCAGCCCCTTGTGATTTGGCCTGTGTTCCTCTCTGGTCACCGCCCCCTGCAGCTATACAGAACAATTTGCTGTTCCACACCCTCGCCTCTGTCCCTGCTCTTCTCTGCCCTGACCCCGGGACTCCCAGCTCCGCGGATTCCTATGCTGCCTGCCAAACACGTGGTCGAGCACCGCCTTCTCCTGGGAGCTGTCCCTCCTGCAGCCAGATTTAGGTACCCCCCTCTGGTTCCCCTGCACCGCGGGCCCCCCTCTGGTGCAGTGTGAGGGGTTGTCCTCTCGCACTAGACCAGTAAAGCAGCGGTCACGGCGTGCTCGCTGTGGCAGGTGCCCCCCGAGGCCCCGAGAACACAGCACTGAGCAAAACAGAGTCCCCCGTTGTGGTGCTGAGATGTTGATGGGACAGAAACAAACGCCTCTGATGAGTCCTGTGAGAATTTCGGGGCGGGGGGCGTGAACTTTGGAACAGTCCACGTGAGAAGACCACCATGGCCCACCGTGCTTTCAGCTCGTTCTGAGAGAATGTGGCGTCTGTGGCCACTGGTTTCCACCCTGTCTTTCTGGTACCTGCAGCTTCAATTCTGCCACCTTTGCTCCCTAAGAACTCCCTTTTTCTTTATGAACGTGGGGTAAAGATGAAAGCCCAGACAAAGGGCCTGTCCTAGCTCTTCTTAGGTATTTTATGTTGAACCTAAAGTTAGGAGGGACATTTAAATGTTAAAGGCTGTTTTCAAGTGTCTTTTTCCCTTTAAGAGTTTCTTCTAAACACTCAAGCGTTTTACTTTTTTTCTTGAAGTTTAACTCAAAATCTAAATCTCTGACTTCATAAAGCTCCTTCCCAAGCCAATCTTCCTTACGAACAAGAAACACGGCAAAGCCTCCTCCATCCCCTTGGGGGGCTCCATGGGGGAAGGAGTCGGTGCTGGAGCTGAGGCTTCCCGCCACCCTGTCCTCCCCCTCCACGTTTGGGCCCAGAGGGGCCTTCCTGCCAGGACCCCTGAGGGGTGGAAGGACACTGCTCCAGGACGCTGAAAGCCAGTGGCCCAGACCCAGCTCTGTGCCGGGCTTGGTTTGGTTCCTGTGGGCAAGTCCTTCAGTTCTCTGAGCTCCCGTTTTCCTATGCAGTGGGGGGTTACTACTAGTTAGGGGTGGTCTAGCCGAGGGGTTCAGAGTGCCCTGCCTGGGCTCGCGTCCTGACCGCCACCTCCTGTGTGACTCGGGCAGTGAGTGTTGGACAGGTGTTTATTGAGCATCTACTACATGTCAGACTGATGCTGGGGGTTCAGCAGCCAAGACAGTTATCCAGCTGCTCTGTCAGGTTCTCTCTAACGGGAGTTAACAGGTAGTAAACCAGGTGAGAATGAGTGTTGTGAGGACAAAGGAAGAACAGAAAGGACAGGGTGGTTAGCTCAGTGGATGGGAGCACCTACGCTGCAGGTTCATGAGGACTGACCACTGAATTGCTGCATGTGGAGCACTTTCAGCAGAGCCTGGCCCTGGTGAGTGCCCAGTGTCACTCTTGAAAAACTCTTCCAACTTAGAACCCTGTCGCTCATTTACCTGCCTGTGTGAGGAAATCCAGGCCATGTTCTCCAAGCTATGTGAGTGTGAAGGGCAGGTGTTCTTGGGGGACAAACTGGTACCCAGCCCTCATATACAGGATGCAGCTGGGTCTGTTCCTGGTCCCCAAGGCGAAGCCTCGGGGTGCGTCACGCTGCATCGGCACAGGGGCGAGCCCGGGGGATAGACATCCCTGGGGGGTGGCAGGGGGTGGCCATGCTCTTGGTGCAGCCAGAGAGCGACCCGGCCTCCAAGAACGGTCAAGGCGGCCTTCTTCAGAAGCACTGCTTCTGATACTAGGGATGCCGTAGACTTTCCCTCCTTGTGGGGCTTGGAGGCCATCTTGTGCAGCACGACCCCAGACAGAAGAGGATGGGCCTACCGGCTGATCTGCCCAGGGGACTAGTATTGACGGTCGCCTCAACCCCAGGATGCATGGAGTTCTTGCCCATCCCCCCCTGGTGGCATAGGCAGCACGAGGCCTGCTGCTTTTCCCCAGGAGACCCCTGGCACGGGAGGTCGCTCCTGTTCCAGCAGGATGAACGAGCGGGCATCTCTCCAGGTGGTTATCCCGCTCTGCTCTCTGATGTGTTCAGTATGCGTCGGGGGGTGTCGGGGGGGGTGACCTGTGCTGGGAGTGCTTTGCTTGCTGCCATTGCTCGTGGCGCGTCCTCCGCAGCACTGTTCCCACCCTGGCCGGTGCCCCCAGGGCTGAAGTGGAAGCCACCATCCCTCCCCTGCTCTTGCTCCCTGTCTGAGTGGGACTCTGCTCAACTCAAACAGACCCTGCTGCGGTGGCCTTGGCCTTTACTGGCCTCCCTGCCTTGTGGCTGCCCTAGACCCAGGCAGCCGGCATCCCTGCGCTTCTGACACTCGCCCCGTGCCTGTCCAGAGGCATTCGGTGGCCCTCCGTCAGGGCCAGAAGCCTTAAACTCTTCAAACGCTGTGAGATGTGGTGAGAAAAGCACAGGCCTTGGGGCCAGAGGAGCCTAGGTTTGGATCCCAGGTCCTAGATTCACTAGGTCTATGACCATAACCTCTCTGAGCCTCTGTGAAAGTGGAGGCGAAGCTGCCGCCTCACAGGGGAGCGGGGCAGTGGCAGTGTATCTCCTGCACTCAGCACAGCTCCTGCCCCCTGATAGTAAACGGCAGCTTTCCCGCCTTTTTCCTGTTTATCTTGATGGTGCCTGACACATGGTAGGGCCTGGAGGAAAAGCTACTGAGTATGTTAGCCAAAAGACGCAGTGTAAGAAGCCCCTCTGGGTTTTGCCCCTTCAGCCTAGTTCCTTCTAATAGCAGAATGACTGCCACAGATCCAGGCCTCGTATTCACACCCCTCACTACCCAGGAGAGTTCGCCCTGTCCAGACAGCCTGGCTGCCCCACGGTGGAGGGGACAGTGGTGGCCGGATGCAGAGAGGACCAGCTGCACTGAGACAGACCCTCCTTCCTGGGCCCGTCAGCTGCTATCCGGACACTCCCATCCAGCAACAAGTTGCAAATATCCTTGAACAATGAGGAGGTTAATCCACGTATAACTCACAGTCGGCCCTCCACAGCCTAGGTTCCCCACATCCGTGGATTCAACAAGCCAAGACCATGTAGCACTGCAGTGTTAACTATTGAAAAGTACCACGTGTAAGTGGACCCGCGTTGTTCCAGAGTCAACGGTAATCTCCCACGAGAAAGCACACAGTCCGTCTCAACAGAAAAGCTGCACTGGGGCCCCCAGACTGAAAGCCCCATATGCTCAGCCAGTGACCCTGGCAGAGTTTAAGTATCTCACGTTAGCCGCTGAGCTAACCACTGAGTCTGCTGTGTTCTTGCCTTGTTTGCTCATCAGCTTCACGTTGGTTTCCTTCCACAGGTAGAGGTGTGCTCGCCTCGCCTCCCGCAGGCATCTTTGCCTACAGGGGGCGCCACGGCGCCTTCCTCCCCAGTGTGTTCCGGCCTGTGTCTGGCCTGCCATGTTGTACCATCTGCTGCTTTGCCCTCAGTGGATGCCACCCTCTGGGTCCGGGGTTTGATTCTGATTGTCTTTGCAGGATGAGCCCAGGCTTCTACAAGAACGTGGTGAAGATACAGAAGCACGTCACCTTCAACCAGGTGAAAGGCATTTTCGGCTTCACTGACAGTGACTGCATCGGTAAGGAGCTGCTGCTGCCCGCGGTCCCCACCCAGCTGCCCTCAGAAAGGAGCCGAGCTCAGCAGGAGGCAGGTTGACGCGCTTGGTGCCTGCCCGGGGCTGAGCTCTCTCTGAGATGGTAGCATCTGCAGTTTGTCTCTTTAAATAGGTGGGTTTTCCCTGGAACATCAAGAGCTGGTGTGATGCCTTTGGCCCCTTTTCTGGGCCATGTGGAGCTATCCCTCGGGACACACTCTGTCCCCTCTCCTTAGTCATCCGTTCGTTTTAAGGTTTAGAAGGAAGAGAAGGGTACGGATGACTTCTGTCCTCCGCCTGCTCCTGGGATGCCAGTCCGCGTGGGAGGCCTTGGTGGGGGCCCAGGGGCTGCAGGAGGGCCTGCTCTGTGGCCGGAACCTGCTGTCTTTGTCTCCCTGGACCTCAGCTTCCCCACCTGCAAAAGGAGGGTCCTGACTGGAGGCCCTGGGAAGCCCACCCTGCCTGCCCTCCCTCGCTCTCCTTCCAGGCTTGTCCCCAGTGGATAGGCCCCCTTTGCCCACGTTTACGCCCCTTTCCCTGTATCTCCCTCCATGCCCCTTTCAGATGCATTGGCTTTCTCTCCTTTGAGACCCTTAGCTCCTTGAGCAGAGGATCAGTCCTGAGACTAGTGGCTGGGTCTCCGGACCCCCCTCCCCTTTATTTTGGGTGCACGGCCCCAGGCCTAGTAGCTGCCAACCTGGGCAGCTCCCAGGATGTGCCTGCAGGTGCTCTGTGCTGGGTGTGCCTGCTGGGAGGGAGCACATTCCAGGGCCCACCGTGAGGGGCCTGTAAGGAAGAGTGCAGAGAGAAATGTGCAGAGGCCTTATTGGGAGGCTTTTCACATAAGCAGAACCCTTTGATGTTTCGGTCAGATCCATTCCTGACAACTGGAGCATAAACCCTGTGCTTTTGAAAGGGTTTCTTAACCCTGGGAATCCTGGCATCGACTGGAGAGGTGTCTCCCTGAAGGCTGCCCAAGTGAGTAGGGAGACAGCAGGCACGATGAGGAGCTGCACACACTCTGCTGCCAGGAGACCTGGGCTCGAACCCTGGCTCAGCCACTCACTGACTGCACACTAGTCCCGGGAAACCACAGAGGCAGTCTGAGCCTGGTGTCCACGTGCATAAAATGGGGACGACAGTGACACCTTCTCCATAGAGTCGTGGGGCATAGACGAGCCCAGGGAAGGCCCTGAGCCAGAGCCGGGGATGCTCAGTGCTGTAAAGGGGGTGCTGGTGCCAATGGCAGCTGCCACGTGGACACCCAGAGGCAGAAAGGAACCCAGAAATGAGGTGTGTCTTTCTGCAGAGGGGAGAAAACAGCTGCCGGGAGGAGCATCACAGAGACAGCAGTTCAGGACCGGAGCCACGTGGGCTACCTGGGAAATGCCTGGGCAGCGCAGAGGGGTAGACTGGCCCAGCTCCACTTATCAAGGGTCACACCAAGATCCATGCCCTTTGACCCCAGAGTTCCGCTTCTGCGGGTCTAAGCAAATAGCAGTAGCAGCGTTAACAACAGCAGCATCCAAAATATTGAGAATGTTTTATGTACCGAGATGTCATGATTTATCATAATTAAAGCTGAGGAACAACCCAGACGCCCAGTGGGTAGAGAACGGCTGACTGTCTAGGGTACGTGTATGGGATAGAGCATGGGTACAAAGTGGAACCTGTAAAGAACAGACCAGAGGAGAATCACAACTGAACCGCAGCGTGTGAAAGGGAGAGAAAGTGCGTGAAGAGAGACACAAACTGGGACTATAGGGGTTTTTTTCTTCCTTCTACTTTTCTGTAGTTTTCAGGTTTTCTTTAATGACTGTTACTTTTCCAGTGGAGAGAAAGCCGATTTTTGTTCACCCCTTTTACAGTTCCAGCAGGAAGCGGTCTCGTGCATAAAGATGTTTTGTCCTCCTTTCCAGGGAAGATCAGTTTTCCTGCCATCCAGGCCGCTCCCTCCTTCAGCAACTCGTTCCCCCAGATCTTCCGAGACCGGACAGATGTCCAGTGCCTCATCCCGTGTGCCATCGACCAGGTCAGGAGGCAGGGCCAGAGCTGCGTCATCCTGGGTGTTGCAGGAGGTTCTCTGCCCTCTTCGGTGGGAAAGGAGGGCCTAGAAGGTGTTGCAGGGCGGAGCTGATTCTTTGAACTCACCGGGAGCTTGGGGCTTGCTGTGAGGCCCGCTCAGGGGTTGCTCATGGGCTAGCAGCTGGCCCACTTCTCCCACTGTCCCCTCCCTCCCCACAGGACCCCTACTTCAGGATGACCAGAGACGTGGCCCCCAGGATCGGCTACCCTAAGCCAGCGCTGCTGCACTCGGCCTTCTTCCCCGCCCTGCAGGGGGCCCGGACCAAGATGAGTGCCAGCGACCCCAGCTCCTCCATCTTCCTCACGGACACGGCCAAGCAGATCAAGACCAAGGTGAGCGGCGCCCGGGCGCAGGCGGCCTCTGCGCAGGGCCACACCACGGGGGGACACACGCGTGGCGCTGCTCTGTCCTTTGGCCTCCGCTGCCACGGGGGCCCTGAGTTCCAGGGTCCAGGCAGCCTGTCCCCGTTCCCAGATAACAGGGGGATTTTCTTATTTGTGTCTTTTCATGTGGGCAAGGCTTTGGAATTTTTTTCTTTCTTTTTCTTCTCTGATTTCCTCACCAACACTGTTCGGGAAGCAAAATCACGGCAATTTTCTTTAGTTACAGTTAAACGATAGAAAAAATGTAGTGTATTTCTGGGCATCAGCCGTATTCCAGGAGCTGGGCCAGGTGCTTTCTTTATGTTTCTAGGTTTTAATTCTCACTGGGAGATCGTGGTGTGTTCCCTTTAAAGACAAGAAGGATGAGGCCCGCAGAGGATGACCAGCTTGACCAGGTTTCCACCGGAAACCAGGAGATGCCCTCCCGGCCCACGAGCTGCTGTTACCAAGCTGGCAGAGGCTGGTTTTCTCCAGAGCATTCTCACTGAGACTCAGGACTGATAAGCCTCCTTCCACAGTCGGGTCCCGCCCGGGAGTGCTGTGCCCGGGCCGGCATGCAGCAGGAGCTCAGTAAATATTTTCCGGGTCACCAGAGAAACGGGAAATCAGAATTAGTTTGAACTTCCTTACTTTTCAGGGCCGCACTTCTGTTGCTCAGTTCTGAACTGCCAGTGTGTGTTCAGTCCCCTCACTGTTCCACAAAGCTGTTGACATTTTATTTGGAACCAAGTGCACGCTTGCGGGTTGGACGATTACAACAGGAGTGACAGAAACTGTACTTGAGGCATGTAGTGCATCCATCTGAGTTACCACCGGGCCCCTACCCCTTCTGGAAAGTCCCAAATTCTGGTTGACAATGGGGAACCCTTAGTATCAGCACTGTCTTCCAGGAAGTGGTAGCCGCCAGCTTTCCCAGCCTCAGCAGGGCTTTCCTTTCTCTTTCACTTCTGGCCGAAAATTCCAGAGCACGGAGTGCGTTAGAGGGGAAGGGAAGCTCCTGTTCCCTCTAGCAGAGAAGTCATTTTGTTTTGTTTTTGAAAGTTGTTTTAAAGAACTCATTTTGGCTCTGGGACATTTTTCATTCGCTCAGGACCAGCAAAGACCCGAGGGCTGGGTGAGCAATGAGTGGAGGGTCGGGAGCCACCCAGGCTGCCAGGGTCACGAGCACCCTGTGGGGCAGGACAGGGTCAGGCCAGGCCCTTGTTCCCAATCCCCAGGCCCACCTTCAACTCCAGAAGCAGAATCTCCACGCCAGCCAGGAGAGGGGGCATCCACTCCAGGCCCCTCCCACGAATAACAACAGTAGAGTGCTGGGGACACGGCAGCTTGGCTGCGTGATCACCTGCCACGTGCTCACCTGTGCAAGCTCACTGAGTCCTGACAGCCACCCCGGGGGCTGCGTCCATTTCGTAAGCAAGGAAGTAGGGCTCAGAGGGGTCCGGCAGCTTCCCTACTTTCACACAGCTGCGAAGCAGTGGGGCAGGGCCGTAACCCGGGTCCCGCACGGCTTGGGCCCTCGGGTGGCCTGGAGGCAGGAGCCCTGGGTTGTCTGGGCCCCGCCACTTACCTGCCATTGGTGGGTGACTATGGCTGTCCAGGTGTCACTGTCAAGTGGGAGCAGCTGTACAAAACTGCAGACTAGGGGCAAGGCTTCCATGAGATCACACATAAAAGTGGTTGCAAACTGTAGAGTGCCACCCAAATTTAAGATTTCAGTTCAAACGTGGATCATTGGACCGCTCCTTTGTCACGCGGGCCAAAATGTGCCTCCCGCCTCCCTGGGACATCATGCCCGGGGACAGGTCGGAGCTTGCGCTGTCCCTCAGAGCCGCTGGCACTCCCACCAGAAAGTCCAGCTTTCTCTGGCCTCACTCGTGGCCGCCAGCCTCTGCCCCATGATGTTAGTCTGCGATTCTGGATGATCCAGTTGGGAATCTGCTCCGGAGTCCTGCTGGGAGGCTTACCAAACGTCTCCGCTGAGACTGTTGACACACCCTTTTCCAGAAGAAAATGAGGGTGACGTTTGTACGTGATAGGTTTCTCAAATAGTCGTTGAAAGAACATTGAAGGAGCTTTGTCTCCCCTTTTTGGCTTTTCTTCTCTTACCTCTTGACCCTGATTTCTCTAAGATTATCTTCATTTTGTTAGTTTCTGAGTCTTTCTTTCTTCAGCTTCTCGAAGTGCCTGTCTTTAGGTGGGCACCGCCTGCGGGCCCTGTCCACCTCGGTGCTCCTCACGGGTTCTGCCCTCCCGGGAGCCCTGTCCTGTGCCTTGCATCCTCCCGTCCACGGTGGGGGGTGTTGGGGGGGTGCTCTGCTCTCCTGTCCTCCGCCAAGAGCACGCCCTCCCAGGCAGCAGCTGCCCTTCTCTGGTTGTCCTTTTTGCTCTGAAGATGGCTCATATCTGTCCTCTTACTGAACCCGAGGACAGTAGGACATTTTCCCCAAATTTCAGCACAGGTGGTGCTTTGGCTTTCCTGATTCTGTTCTGTGTCTCTGGGGGTTGGGGAGGTCAGAGCTCATCCTCCCTCCGGTCCCCCCTTCTCCGCAGTGAGCCCCACGGTGGCCCGTCCCGGGCTCGGTGGGAAGGAGCAGTCCGAGGGCTCCCCCCACTGCTCGGGCCGGCTTGCACGCGCAGGGCGGCGGTCCAACAAGCATGCGTGTCCTCTCACTGGCGCAGGTCAACAAGCACGCGTTCTCCGGAGGCAGAGACACCACGGAGGAGCACCGGCAGTTTGGGGGCAACTGTGACGTGGACGTGTCCTTCATGTACCTGACCTTCTTCCTGGAGGATGACGACAGGCTGGAGCAGATCAGGAAGGTGAGGTGGGGGCCCAGTGCCACATGGGACCTGGGAGGCCTGGCAGCCACGCTGGGGGCAGCCAGCGTCCCTGGTGCCTGAGGGGCAGGCACTCAGCTGAGACCAGATTAGAGTTGAGTAGGTCAGGCGTGTTCTGACCACGTGTCCAGAAACCTCATGAACAGATAGTTCCCAAAAGAGAAAATACAAACCGCTAGTGAGCAGCCACTAGTCTCACTACCCACTAGTCATTGAGAAATAGAAGTGAAATCAAGACGCCTTCAATGTTGAGACAATTCCACCACCGATTTAGCGGGTTTGTGCCGTATTTGCACTGATTGTAATCCAGACGCTTTGGGGCTCACCCGGGTAAGTCGAGTGTTCCCTGCGTGCCTCTCAGCGAGCCAAAGAGCCCGAAGAATGTTCATAGCCCCTGCTTCAGGTTTTCCAATTCTTGGCATCTTTTCCAAGAAACTAATCCTGAATAAGAAAGAGCTCTCTATGCAAAGATGGTAAAAATGATAGTAGCAAAAAGTTCAGAAGAGACTCTGTACAACAGAGGAAACCTTAACTGAGAATTGTGAGGAGGGATTATTACGCAGGTGTGAGGTTTATGATCACACGGGAGAATACGCCAGTGATAGTGATAAAAGGACACCAAATTGGACGTGCAGTGAGGTCCACTATGTTTAAATACAACGCACCAGAAAAAATCTAAAAGGAAGCATGCCAGGATATTAGCAGTGGCCCTTAGCCTCTGGGCACTGGCTTTGCAGGGGATTTTTTTCTTTACTTTGCTGCTTCTTTGTGGTTTGGGTACCTTATTAAGTTTGTTCAGTAAGTACATGTTACCATCACAATCAGAAAATGAAAAAAGATTGGGCAGAGATTTTAGAGAAGCCAGTAAGGCTGAAGGGGGCAGCCACGGGTTCAGGGCTTGGAGTCCCCCGACCCCGCAGGAGGGTGGGCGAGGTGGGGTGGCAGACCCCATTGTTCCCCTCGCTGTGCCAGCCTGAGTCGCGGCTGCTCACCAGGGCCCAGAGTCATTTTAAGAAAGGCATGGTTTAAGGTTCTCGTTTTTCTATGCCGCCTGTGTGCCAGGCTCTGCATGGGTGGTGCCCGGGCAAGGGAGGTACCCAGGGCGTGCGCAGCCGTTTCTCACGTGGCCTGTCTCCTCCCGGGCAGGACTATGCCAGCGGGGCCATGCTTACCGGCGAGCTCAAGAAGGAGCTCATAGACGTTCTGCAGCCCTTGATCGCCGAGCACCAGGCCCGGCGCAAGGAGGCCACAGACGAGATAGTGAAAGAGTTCATGACTCCCCGGAAGCTGTCCTACGACTTTGAGTAATGCTCACTCCCTATACATTTCCTGAGATGTAATTTACCAAGAATCCCAGCCCAGTCGAATCACCACCTCCCTTAGGCTGTGTCACACGGTAATTACTGGCCTGGTGTCTATAAGCCCTCTGTGTGTATCAATGCTGTTTCTTCTGCTGAATGTCATTCCCTGTCTCCTGTGAGCATAACCCTGTGGGGTGACTGGGTGCCGGGTAACACTGAGTGGTCACACAGACAAGTCCAGCTGGAGTCTCTCCCACAGAGCAGCCCCAAGGATGTGCAGCCTTGGGCTGGATGTCCACTGGCCAGCCTGTTCTGGTCCATAGGACAGCTCCTGTTTGAAAGCATCCTACATCCAAACATTCTCTTAAACATGCTCTGTCAAAGAATATGCAGCCTGTGTATGCATACCTGGAATCAAGATGTTAATTCTCATAAAACCGAAAAGAAGTGCTTCGAAAACTTGTTGAGGGGGAGCTTAATGGGCACGAGAGGTATTTCAGCACATGCCCCCAAAATCAAAAAAGAAGGCTGGCCAAGAGCTTTGCTAAACATTTAACCAAGAGACCCCTCAGCTTGAAAGCTGCCTTGAACGTTTCTGAATATTGGCCAGAGTGGGCCAGTTTTTACTAAATTGAGTCTTTTGTGGGTGAAACTTCCCAGTTTACGTACTAAACTCCAGACCGTGCATGTACTGTACTCCAGAAATCATGCTGTTTTCCCTGAACATAGTAATATTTTGTTTGCACCAAGTAATCCTAGATCCATCCTGAGAACTGGTGGCTGCTTTACTCTGATTGTGCCAGACGCTGAGGGGAGTCTGTTGCCTTTGCTGGTGCTTTTGTTTTGACACTTGACTGGCGTGGAAGTCTGTCTGCGCAGAGCAGTGCCCTGCCTGTGCCCCAGACGGGTGGGCACAGCTAGGCAGCGTGCAGTAGCCCTCGAGGCCCTCGGCTGTGTGTCCATGGGAGGCCCGTTTAACCGAGCGCCCTGTGTAGTTTAGGAAAAGCAATGGCCTGTCTCGGGGAAGCCCTGGGTCCAAGAGCCTGCCCTGGCTGGAGGTGCTGGGTCCACTCCTGGGTGCCCCACTCTGGTCTCACTCATGACAGATAAACTTCCTTTGGTCCCGCCTGTGTCACTGTGCTCCGTCTGGGGTTTGAGGGGTGAGCATAGGCCTCGCTCCAACGCAGGGCAGTGCCGCGCCTGACCCTCCGTGGATGCCCTTGCTCCTGCACGGGTCATACCGGGATGCGTGTGGGATGGAAGCGCGGTCCCGGGAGCCCCACGGTGTGGAGGTGCAGGCTTCGGGAAGCAGCTGGAAGCGGCGCCTTCCTGGCGCTCAGCGGTCTCCCCGTGCTGGTTTCCACCCTCCCTGGAGGTTCCCAGCAGCTGCTGGAGAATGCAAGCAGATGTCCTTGTCTCGCGGACAGCACGGGGGCATCAGAGCGGCGCCATGTAGCGACAGGGCCCAGGCCAGGGGCCCAGCCGGAATGGAGCTCTGGGCTCACTCTGCCCGCCCACCCTGTACTGCACGTGGGCAAACAGAGGCTCAGGAGAGGACTGTGACTTGTCCGAGGCCACACAGTGAGTTGTGACCAAACATGCCCATCCTGTCTCGTGTGCTGTCTCCTCACACAGGCTGTCTTACATGTGAGGGCCCTGAGGTTTCCACCTGGGTGGCCGGGTGCCGTGTGCAGCACGAGGTCATCCCGTCTCCTCTCCCGGCCTCAGCTCCCGCTGGACCGGATGTGGCCCGTGGAGGTGAGCCCAGAGGATGGCGAGGCTGTGTGGCCTGGGCAGCTGAGACAACCTCTCTCTGCTCCATTGTGTCCACGTCACAGGAGGGACCACAGCAACGTTCCCGGGGTGGCAGAGCCGCCCCTTCACCCAGCCAGAGCCTCCAGAAGGAGTGGGCGTCATCCTAGGGCCACAGAAGGGTGGGGCTGAGGCCCCACACAGGCCAGTGACTTTGGGTGGGACCCCCCGTTCCCCGTAAAACAAAAGCACTGACACCTCACGTTTGGGTCAGCTGGGCCCTGGGCCAGAGGGCAGGTGACTTGCCCAAGGTCACTGCTGGTAAGGGCCACAGAGCCTCCCACCCGCCACATTTTGCTGCAAACCAGTAGATTCTTAAAGTTCCCCGAGAGATGCCGTGGATGAGGATGGGAAGGTGTGTGGCCCGGCGGTGTTGGGGGGCTGAGGCAGGAGGTCGGTCCCCAGCCCCCATGACTGTTAATGTCCACCCCTCAGACCTTGCTCCGCCTCTGTCCCCAGTCTGGGGGAGCCCAGTGGAGCTGCATCTGAGGGGCACTGAGGAGCCCGCTGACGGCAGTGGAGAGCTGGGCCAGGCCCTGCGCAGACTGCAGCAGATGCGGCTTGGAGGCCCTATGACCCCCAGTCAGCACAGGCTCTGGGAGCCGTTGGGTGGCCACCCTTTATCTCCCATTTGAAACTTCAGGTGCAGCCTGGACTTGGTTAGGGTGGCCCCGTTCAGTAGGAGAGCCCAGCTCTGGCCCGCTGACACTGGGCCCAGCCCTCCTCTTCCCTGTCCCTTCACGTCCACCCTCCGAAGGGCCCTGCTTCCCAGAGGCTGCAGCCAGAGCGAGGCCCGGGCCTTCCTGCAGAGCCACTTCCCCAGCACGGCAAAGCTGGTGCTCCGTGACCGACGGTCCCCACCCTCCCCATGAGGAAGGAGGAACTCTCCTTCCAGGGCCAAAGCAAGAGGACACACTAGTCGTCTTCTTGCCAAAAGTGGACACAGGGTTTGACGAATATTGAAACCTTTTGTTAGGAGACGCCCTTCTCCCAGCACCTGGCCAAAGCATCCCAGCATCTTTAACTGCAAGCCCGATGAACTTCCAGGAATCCACTGCGGGACTTCGTTCACTCACTCATGCATTCATGCATTCCACACTCCCTGAGCACCTGCTGCGTGCCAGGCCCTGACATCAGGCATGTGTAGCCTGTGCACAGCTTATCGTCTCGGGGCGGCGGTGCGGGGGCGGGGGGGGGGGGGTGTGCAGGAGGGGGGGAAGGGACCAGACCCCAAACCAGGCCCCGTGGAGCAG